ATATGAACTATCGCATCAAACTTCATGACCTCACTGCTTTTATCTGATTTTACAAATGAAGAAACTAAGTCATTGAGAGGTTAAGCAACTTGCCCAGGGCCATGGAACTCCATCTAGAAGAGGCAGGACTTGGACTGAGTTTTGTTTGAGTCTACAGTTGGTGTTTGAAACCACCAAGCTATACAGTTTCTCAATAGGGGTATGATTGAATAAATACAGTAAAACATGATGAAATATTAACTAGCCGTAGCATGATGTTTCGAACAATTTTTAATAAAATGAGGAAATTTGTATTAAATAATATTGTATAAGGCTGGGTGTGGTGGCTCACACCTGTCATTCCAGCACTTTGGGAGGCTGAGAAAGGCAAATTACTTGAGGTCAGGAGTTCCAGACCAGCCTGGTCAACACGGCAAGACTTTTTGTCTACTAAAAACACAAAAATTAGCTTGGTGTGGTAGCATGCACCTGTAATTCTTGCTACTCAGGAGGCTGAGGCTGGAGGATAGCTTGAGCCCAGGAGGCAGAGGTTACAGTGAGCCAAGATCACACCATTGCACTCTAGCCTGGGTGATGAAGTGAGACTGTTTCAAAAAATATATTTTTTAATAAGAAAGATAAGACAAAACATTTACTAAAGAATATAATCTCCTCTAGGCTACTGACATACACAAAAGACTGCTAACATATTTTTAAAAGTAATCATTTCGAGTTTATGAGCAAATACAAAGTTGTATTCTCTTCTCCATACCCTTCTATACTTTTCAAGTATCCTATAACTAGCATATATTACTTGTGTAGTAAAGGAAAGTAGTTGGTTTTAAGAAGAAAATAACTATGCCAGAAGATTCAAAGCATCAGTGCTAAATGGGTCAGCACTGTAGGGCTTGTGGGGTCCAGAGTCCCACACAGCCAGGCAGCCCCAATACACCATGGCGAGCCCTCAGTGGAGCGATGCTAAGTCTCATCCTGGGAGAGGCTGTTTGCAGGGCTGACTCTGCTGCCCACCCTGAGCCATCCTGCTGTGGATGTGAGGTGATTAATGAGATCAGTGACCAGCACAAATGACATGTCGGAACTGGATGGGAATTTCTACTCTTTCTTTCTACTCCTTCACCCTCTACCTAGGTAACTTTGAGCAAGTTATTTTTGTTTTTTCCTTGTCCGTATAATGAGGACAGTAATATTGTCTGAATGATTGGGTTGTTGTGAGGATTAAATGAGAGGAAACTTGTAAAGTTTAGCATGTTACCTGCGACATAATACTCATTACATGGTCACTTTAAAAGAATGACAAAACATACTTTGCTCCATGGTCAATGATGTGGTTTGTCTGTGTCTCCACCCAAATCTCCTCTTGAATTGTAGTTCCCATAATCCCCATGAGTCATGGGAGGTGATTGAATCATGGGGACAGTTACACCCATGCTGTTCTTGTGATAGTAAGTTCTCATGAGATACAATGGCTTTATAAGGGGCTTTTCCCCCTTTGCTCAGCACTCCTCTGGCCTGTCATCATGTAAAACATGCCTGTTTCCCCATCTGTCATGATGGTAAATTTCTTGAGACCTCTCCAGACATGCGGAACTGTGAGTCAATTAAACCTCTTTTCTTTACCAATTTCCCAGTTTTGGCCAGGTGTGTGGTGGCTCACACCTGTAATCCCAGCACTTTGGGAGGCCAAGGCAGGTGGATCACCTGAGGTCAGGAGTTTGAGACCAGCTTGACCAATATAGTGAAACCCCATCTCTACGAAAAATACAAAAAAAAAAATTAGCCAGGTGTGATGGCATGTGCCTGTAGTCCCAGCTACTTGGGAGGCTGAGACAGGAGAATTGCTAGAACCCAGGAGGCAGAGGTTGCAGTGAGCCAAGATCATGCCACTGCACTCCAGCCTGGGCAACAGAGGGAGATTCTGTCTCAAAAAAACAAAAAAAACAAAAAAACAAAAAACTTCCCAGTTATGATTATGTCTTCCTAGCAGCGTAAAAATGGACCAATACAGTCGATACAGCGAGAAGAGCTGAGGTGATGATTTGGCATCATCCTTAAAATACAGATGGAATACATTATTGCTTAAACCAGGTCCTTTCGAGTGGATTTGATTACACTAGCCTGGTGTTTTGGTAGGCCATAAAATATGGTTGTTATGCTTTAAATTTGGTCCAAGAATAAAAAAGTGTATTTCTTGTTTGAAATCACTCTAAATTCCCACAAGCACATTGTTTTCTTGTAAGACTACAGTTCGATGTCAGTGTGTATAAGTTATGTAAAAATGCTTCCCAAATTAAAGATAATTTGAATTTTTAAAGTATATTCAGGTATATCCTGTGAGATTAATAGGCATAAGTTAACATTCTGTTGCAAGGACAGAACTGTCTTATTGTGGACGTAACACTGCAAACACTAAATAAAATATTATGAGTTTTTTCCTAGCAACTTAGGCAATACACTGATGACAGAACTGGTATAAAAAACAGTTTCCTGTCATAAAGGCTGCATCTTTGTGTGTACGTGTGCATATGTGTGTGAGATTCTGGGCTTGTGAATGCTTTTGTATGGTAAAATACTTGCAAATACCATAAAACACTAATAGCAGGTGGATTTAAACGATGGGATTAGGGGTGGTTCTTTTTTCTCCTTTTTATTTCTCCTGTTGAAAATTTTTCCGTACTCTAATTATTGCTTTCCAATGAAAGACATTAAGTATAATTTTAAAAGAAATAACCTAGCCACGTGGTGGCAGTATACCATGAAGAATATAATCTACATAGCTTCGTTTCAGTCCCGTGCCTAACATTGGCTTGATTTCTTCTCTGACAATTTTGTTTATAAATTGTATTATTTTAGATATCTGATTCTTTGTGAAATTTCCCTCTGAGAATTAGGCACCTCTAATAAATGACTTTAATTCAATGCACCTGGTTGATTTGAAACTGTGATAACTAATAGACTCTAGAGGAAGATTGAAGTATTCCCTGTTAGAGCTAATGAAACCCTAGTGGGATATGAATATTGTTTTATATAATACAAATTAATAACTGAAGTTTCATTGCCAAATAACCACCTGTAGTTTATACAACAGAATTATATTAACCTGTATTAAAAGCCAACAGCACCATACATTACTTTTAAATTAAAAATGCTAATTTTAAAATAATAAAAGTAAAAACAAAAATACTATAGCAACATATGTTATAAGCCCATGATTTTGCCAAATTGAAAATTGTGTTACCTTTTAATGTTATGTTTTTATTCTTAAAATTTCTTCTTTCTTTTTTTTTTTTTTTTTTTTTTTTGAGATGGAGTCTTACTCTGTCACCCAGGCTGGAGTGCAATGACGCAGTCTCTGCTCACTGCAACTTTTGCCTCCCAGGTTCAAGTGATTCTCCTGCCTCAGCCTCCTGTGTAGCTGGGATTACAGGCTAATATAGATGCAGAGTCCTGTGTGAGCTCCCTGCAAATGAAGGTGGCCTATAAAGATACCGCTTTAGATGAATAAACCTCACTATGGGCCATCAGGGCATAACCTTGTTCCCTCAGAGTTTGATGCAAACATATACCCAAAAAAAGACTTTGCTGGTCTCAGCTCCTGGCCTTAAATGATCCCCTTGCCTCAGCCTCCCAAGTGCTGGGATTACAGGTGTGAGCCACCGTGCCTGGCCAGACTAGACTTTTTCAAAACTTTCTAAAGCCCCATAGGAACCTTTTCATTGGAAATATGGGATTCTTTTCTCAAAGACAGTCACATGGCCACATTGCTCATTATACAAGTCTGTGATATCTCAGTGACAGTTAAGGACGTCTCAAGTTGTGATTTCTCCCTGCCCCCAAAGTAATTTTTTTAAAAGAATAATTTGAGCACTGAAATCAGAATGACGGAATACATGGGGCTTGAAACACTCTCAGGGATCCAAGGCTTAGAACCATCTTCAGAAATGTCTTCTGCCATTTGGGAGAATTGTGTCCCTGAAGTCACTTCTGTCAGCCTTTAATTGTCAGGAAGGAAGAGACCAGCAAGGCTGCACCAGGACACCTTTGAGTTCAGACTGAAAGTTAAGTGCCAAGGTTGCTCACCCCTCCCTGGTGAGAAGCATTCATTAGCAGTGTCCTGACAGCCTTTATAACTAGACCAGGCTGCCAGGATCATTGCCAGCAGGAAAAGAGCAGAGAGAAGTCATTGGTGACATCCCACCCCTGTGTTACAACACCAAAGTGTCTGCTAACCAAAATTAGGTTTCTTATGAGGAGATGAACAGCATCCCAAAGATTGTGCAAAGGCAAAAGTAACACATCTTGGAGACCCTCAAGGAAATCTGAACCTCAATGCACCATCAATCGCAAGGAATCAGAGATCAGTTATGCATTTTTCTCACTCAGTGAAATAAAGCTCCTTGGTATTTGCCACCTAGAAGCCTCATGAAATTAGTGGACACATCTTGAAGTTTTACAATCTAGGAAGTTTTTTGTTTGTTTGTTTTTGAGACGGAGTTTCGCTCTTGTTACCCAGGCTGGAGTGCAATGGCGTGATCTCGGCTCACTGCAACCTCCGCCTCCTGGGTTCAGGCAGTTCTCCTGCCTCAGCCTCCTGAGTAGCTGGGATTACAGGCACGCACCACTATGCCCAGCTAATTTTTTGTATTTTTAGTAGAGACGGGGTTTCACCATGTTGACCAGGATGGTCTCGATCTCTTGACCTTGTGATCCACCTGCCTCAGCCTCCCAAAGTGCTGGGATTACAGGCTTGAGCCACCGTGCCCGGCCAATCTAGGAAGTTTTTAATTGCCCCTGCAGTGTTTCCTTCTTTGAGATTCATCCAATTAAATAAAAAGAAGAAAAGACACACACTCGAAGGCTATTGCTTTTATTCCACCCTTCAAGCCCATTAAAGTCATTGGTTTGCTTTAGTCATCTCTAAACAAGGGAAGAAACTCTGTTGGGAAATTTGGCAAGCTGAGTACAAAATGTAAGAAATTGACGATCTTTCCTTTTGGTTTAAGTTCCTCAGGTCACACCAAAATCACTTCGACATGACACATGGAATTCTGGACTTCCAGTTTCTTCCATTTCTACAAGACGCCTTACTTCTGGTAAGAAAATACCACCTAGGTTTTTGAGTAGTCTTTTAGTAATTGCCCATTTTACCTCTCATACTGAACAAATCAGGTGTTAAGTTCCTGGGTAATAAGATACGCCTTATGCCTTCCATAGGAAAATAATAGACAAACTACAAAGATCTGCTTAAAACTGAAGTTAAGAGGTAGCTTAGATGGATTTTTCCAGCTTTTGCAATAGGTTGTATACATTTTAAAAATATTTATTTGTCTATTTATTTATCGATTGATGGAGACTCGCTCTGTCGCCCAGGCTGGATGGAGTGCAATGGCGTGTTCTCGGCCTACTGGTTCTCAGGTTCAAGTGATTCTCCCGCCTCAGCCTCTTGAGTAGCTAGGATTACAGGCACCTGCCATCATGCCCGGTTAATTTTTGTATTTTTGTAGGGATGAGGTTGCACCTGTTAGCCAGGGTGGTCTTGAACTTCTGACCTCAGGTGATCCCTTGCCTGGGCCTCCCAAACTGCTGGGATTACAGGCATGAGCCACTGCACCAAGTCACATTTTTATTTTAATAGCTTCTAGGCTCAAGACCCCCAAAATTCTTTCAAAACACAATATTTACCTATCATGTGCTAGTAGTTTTCTAGACATCTTCAATTTTCAAAGCAGCCCATGAAATAAGTGTTATGCATCTATTTTGTAATGAGGAAACTGAAACTTAGAGTGGTTGAGAAATCTTTTCAAGGTCACAGAGCTGCTAAGTGACAGACTAGACTTCAAATCCTTTTCTCTCAATATCCTGGAGTCTCTGCTCTTTCTTTCATACAAACCAGCTCCCATTGGTTGTTAGCATGACTGTTATTGTATTGATGAGCTTGCCTAAATGTTTTAGTTTTAAAAAATTGAGATCTGATTGTACAATGGGTGAGCATAACTCTAAATAGAAATTTCAAGTTAAAAACTTTTAGGAATGACTATTTCACCATTGGCCACTGACAGACAATTTCTCTCCTTGCACAGAAATAAGCGGGAATAGTATAAGAACTTTTGTAGGTGGTATTGATATTCTTTGCACCTTCATTTATTTAATATTCATTAAGCAACTCCTGTATGCGAGGCACTGTTCTGAATGCGGGGGAATCAGCAGTAAAAACCATGAGCAAAGCCCCTGTCTTCGTGGAGCTTCCATTCTAGAGATACCGGGCAGAAAAACAGCAAATAAAATAACAAGAAATGTCAGGTGGTGGTGAAGTGTCATAAAGAAACATGAAGTGGCTAGGCATAGTGGCTCACACCTTATAATCCCAGCATTTTAGGAGGGCAAGGCAAGCAGATTGTTTGAGTCCAGGAATTCGACACCAGCCTGCACAACAAGCCAAAACCCTGTTTCTACAAAAAATACAAAAATTAGATGGGTGTGGTGGTGTGCACCTGTAGTCCCAGCTACTCAGGGGGCTGAGGCGGGAGGATCAATGGAGCACGGGAGATAGAGGCTGCCACGAGCTCCACTGCACTGCTGCCTGTGCAACAGAGCAAGACCCTGTCTCAAAAAGACAACCAAAAACAACAGCAACAAAATAATAAAGAACAGAAGAATATGAAAAAGAAACATGAAGCAAGGCAAGGGCACTCTGAATCTGAATTTGTAGATATGAATCAATTATGAGCCAAGTGCTTAGGTTCAGTATGGTTCCCTAATTATAGATGCCTACACAGACCTACCTACACCTTGATATTTCTGTGGGAACAGCGGAGGCTAGGAACTCATGGCAGCTCTGTTAGATAAGTATTATTATCTCTATTTTACAAAAGAGAAAACCTGAGACTCAGCAAGTTCATAATTATGCCCCAAGGTCATAGAGCTGATAAGAGGCAGCATTTAATTCAAACCCAGGTATCTCAGGCCATGCTCTTGGTCATTCTGCTCTACTGCTTAGACCCCTTCGCCAAGCACTGTGTGAACCTGAGGGCTGTCTATCCTTTTCCTGGCACTAATTAATGCCCAAGGGTGTGTGGCAGCCAGTACCCCCCATTAGTTGCTTGAAATAGTCAGCAATAGCTCTTTAGCCCTAGGAAAACATTAATTCCTTATCCATCAAGATTTTGCAGTGAGCTACAGTTACTCAGACCCTTGCCTGCTGATTGGCTTTAAAAGAGGACCAGGCAGCCTGGAGACCCCTGTATGTGAAATAACTAGGGTCGGGTAAATGCAATGTCTGCCACGTGGTAAGTACCCAGTAAACAGTTACTGAAAGGAGGGTGGGAGTGAGGAAGGAGGATGGAAGGAAAGCCAATACCCAGCATGGCCCTAGAACAGATTCCAGTGTGATAAGTAATGTCTCAACTATTTTCTATATTTGAAAATGGGGCTTTTTCATGTATCAGGGAGAGAACACGGTAAGCCTGGTGGGTAATATAGGTTGAATAAATTATAATAATTATTTAAACCTTTCAGGATATTAATTCAGTTTCAAAATGCAAGAAAAACATTGTTTTTGTTTTTGTTTTGTTTTGTTTGAGACAAAAGTCTGGCTCTGTCACCTAGGCTGGAGGGTAGTGGCACAATTTTGGCTCACCGCAACCTTGGCCTCCCAGGCTCAAGCCGTCCTCCTACCTCACCCTCCCTAGTAGTGGGAACTACAGGCACATGCTACCACACCTGGCTAAGTTTTGTAATTTTTGTAGAGACAAGGTTCTCGATTTGTTGCCCAGGCTGGTTTCGAACTTCTGAGCTCAAATGATCCTCCTACCTTGGCCTCTCAAAGTGCTAGGATTATAGGCATGAGCCACCACACCCAGCCGGCATTTTTTCTTTCTTTTTTTTTAAAAAAACAAAAACAAAAACAAGAACAAAAAAACAAAGTCTTGCTCTGTTATCCAGGCTGGAGTACAGTGGTGCTATCTCAGCTCACTGCAACCTTCACCCGCCAGGTTCAAGCAATTCTCCCACCTCAGCTTCCTGAGTAGTTGGGATTACAGGTACACACCACCACACCCAGCTAATTTTTGTATTTTTAGTAGAGATGGGGTCTCACCATGTTGATCAGGCTGGTCTCAAACTCCTGACCTTGTTATCTGCCTGCCTTGGCCTCCCAAAGTGCTGGGATTACAGGCATGAGCCACTGCGCCTGGTTGCATTGTTTTTTAAATAAGTGTGAGTGCAATATTTATAACAATTTTGATTTCTTTCTTTTTCTATTTTTTATTTTTACCTTCCCAGTGTATGATTTCTTTCTTATCACATATATTGTTCTAAGTAAAGTGGATGTCCTTTCTCAGCAGGAAAAAATTCATGAATAGATTTTGAAGAATGATGACAAATTGCACACATTCTATCTCACACAAAACATTTAAAAATATTTAATGTGATTGTGACCAGCTTTAGACATTGTTACAGCAATTGGGAATTCTCACGTGTGTCAAACAACCCAAATGAGATTCACCACTAATAATTTATGTAAAATGTACATATACAAGCTGACCACATTTGCCAGAGATGCACTTCTAAAAACCCACTGACATCAGATACACGTAGCCCAACTTTCTCAAGCTAAAAGTTGTTTCCTGGAGCAGTTGTGAACTCTGGTAAAGCAGCCACTTTATGGCCCAAGGTAAAGGTTAATTTTGCTTCCCTCTGCCCTTTCTACTTTGAGAACTTTGCTTTGAGCAGAGTAGAGAGAATGGTAATTCTGGTATCACATGAGCACTAATGCTTAGTTAAAATTATTTTTCTTTCCTTTCATTAGACAACAGAGATGACATTGGACTTTTATGGGGAATGATCGTCTTTGCTGTTACATTGTCAATTCTTTCTTTGATTGGGATACTTAACAGATCACTCAGAACTGGGTAGGTTTTTGCAGAATTTCTGTTTTCTGATTTAGACTACATGTACATGTATTGCCAAAATTTAGTCATTTCAGTTGTTTACTAGAAAAATCTGTTAACATTTTTATTCAGATAAAGGAAAATAAAAGGAATAATGTTTAATAAGCACTTACCCATGCCAAGCTCTTTACAAATGTCTTACCTTTAATCCTCAAAATGACCCTGCCAGAAAAGCTTCCTGGCCTATTTTACAGATGACTTAAAGGAGGCTTAGAGAGACTGAGTGTTCAGCCCAGGATCACTGAGCACTAAGCCCTGGGTCCGAACACGTTGATATCAAAGCCCATTTCTCTCCTTTACTACATGGCCTTTTCTTTTGTGCCTCAAATTTACTTACAGTGCCTGGATGCTTGAGAGTGCTGAAGCCACAAATTGCCTTGTGTTAAAAGAAAAACTTCAGCCAAATTAAATTTAAAGGAGCTTAATTAAGCAACAGACGTGCGAATTGGGCAGCCCCCAGAATCACAGCAGATTCAGAGAGACTCTAGGGTTACATTGTGGTCAGAGCAAATGTATAGACCAAAAAAAAAAAAAAAAAAAAAAAGAAAAGAAAAAAGTGACATACAGAAATTGGCAGTGGGGTACAGAAACAGCTGGATAGTTTACAGGTTGGCATTTGCCTTACTTGAACACAGTTTGAACACTTAGCAGTCTATAAGTGGTTGAAATGTGGCTGCTGGATTGGCCAAGACTCAGCTAGTGCTACAGGCACATACTCCTAAGTTAGGTTTTCAATTTTGTCTGCCTATTACGCTAGGTTACAGTTTATCCACAAGGACTTGAATATAGAAGTATTGAGTCCTGCTCATACCATATTTAGTTTACTTTAATAATTCCCCCCTTTTGGCTATTTTCTAAATTTTGAGAAATTGACCAAAACTTTAGTCATTGATGTCACCGTCACTATCGTAAATGTACTTATATGATCTTGAAATCTATCGGGAAATAGTAGAACAGTGGATTCTGTAAGATGGGAACAAGGACTGAGTAGAGGAAACCTCCTTATGCTGGCATATCCTGTTGATAGGAGAAAAACAAAACCCGGTCTGTTCAAGGATCTATGTGTTTCCCTAAAGTCTTAGTTTGATTATGTCACATTTAGCATGAGCAGCTCCATTTTGGTTTGGTTTGGTCTGCTGGGGTCTAGTGCGTGAGCTCAGTCCAAAACAATGGCCTCCCATAATTTTGTTTAAAAAAAAAAAATCCCTCTTTTTGGTCAGGTTCTCACTTAGGTGAGAGTGTGACCAGTGCCACTCTTAGTTATCATCATTTTAGGTTTCTGGTCTCAGCATGTTATTCATAGGTTATGGTGTCCTGATGGTCGCACATTTCTTTCAGCTCTTGTTATTCCAGTTGAAGAGTAATCATTTGACATTCCGGAGATGGCTGCTTGCAAACATTTAAAACCTTTGAGAGAATACAGCATACCAGGCAGATTACTATTAGGACTATCAGGAGAGTAATACCAAGAGTTTAGAGTATGTTCCTTACCCAGGGCTCTCATAAACCAAACCATCTAAAATCAAAATAGATCAAATAATGAGCTAGATTAAGAGTCTATTCACTTAACTAAGTAGTTTTTTCATTAATCCCCTACAACTGAATCACTATAATACCTGATGTTTTCTCCATAGGCCATAAGTGCCACCAGCTACACAGATAGATACTTTTCTGTTTAACCAATTCTATTATTTAGTACAATTTTCATAAGAGAATTTAAAGTCTATTGTGTACCATAGCCTTTGCATTAGAATCTGCTATGGAGCCTATCATAAGGGATACAGTTCTAATCATTGCCTCTTTTGCTTTAAACCATGGAAAAAAGGACCTAACAAATGATGCCCTTCTAGAAGAGTAAGGGCCTCCTGGCAATATTCTCTTTAACCCATGATGTGGGTCAAGAGGAATGCATCAATGTTCTGTTTCTGACTAATTATGAGGCACCATATGAACCATTACAATTTCTCACCGGCATTGGGCCTTCCTTTTTTATTTATCAGAGTATAACATTATCCATGTATAAGACTGTCTGCAAATCCTTTGCAAAGAAACATACACCCTGTAATACACACATAACAGATCCCCTTTTCATTTTTATTGTTCATAGAGGCATAAGCAAGAAAAAAATATTAAAAGTCTTGATAGTAGAGAAGTCTTAATCCATGATTTTGGGAAAAGCTGTTAACATTAAGGATGCCATCTTCTTCTGGGGAGAAACTGTTCTGGTTAGCTTTACCTTAAGGGTTCCAATGGGCATGGAGAGACCCTTCTCAGTTGTGAGATTATGAAAGTTGTGGGACCTATGAAATCCAAAGTTCAAGGTCCCAAAGTTTGCTGTAGTGTGGATGCCAAGGATAGTCTTTCTCTCATTTTCTCAAAATATCCATTCTTTGAGTTCTAGATTGTGCAGGTGTTGATTGTCCTTAGTGAATCATAAAAAGCTTTTTTTCCCATGTAAAAATATACTGTAGCATAATAACCTACTATTCTAACATTAGTCCTCTTACATGGGAAAGCTTTCATGCAAGCAGAAAACATGCATTGAAAATGCAAATTGAATGAAATCCCCTATAAATGTTTAATGGCTCATCAGGTAGCCAAATGTACCTGAAGCTTTGATTGTTTTCCTAGGAATATGGGTTTGACAAACCAAACACTGGTTATAACTATTTTCGTAGTTTATAAGTCACCACACAAACATATTTAATTTGGATAATTGTATCTTCCATTACAAGTCATGGAATGCAGAACTTTTAATAATAAAAGCTTTAAAGACTCTGGAAAAACAAGGTGGCTGTCCTGGTTCTTCATGAGACCATGCTTAACAATGGACTTATGTCCTCCTGAATACCAGTTGTTTCTCCATGTAGGTGCATAGCACTGATAACTGATGGATTATCATAGGTAATTTGACTTAGACCATGGCGCTCATTCAAATTGTATATATAAACAATTTTTAGTATTGGCTGATTTAGCCTGCTGATTTTTCTTGCTGATTTAGCATGAAAATCTGGTAGAGTCTTTTCTTGGTATTTAATTAATTTTTGTTCTACTTGGGTTAACAGTTTTATAAACCAGTCAGTCTTTTTATTAAAGTTTTAGGGATTTCTACCCAGTCTAAATAATCTGAAATTTAAAGTTATTAGAAACTGATATTCAAGAGTCCTTTTTAGGGTCCTTTTTATCCTTTCCTGAACTTTCTAAAAGATAACATATTCTCGGATTTTGTGTGTTTGTGAAGCTTTTGGAAATTGCATTAGCATTAAGTTAACTTAATGTAATGACTTTAAACAGTGATAGTTAAAAAAAACAATTAACAAGGAAATTTGGTTATCTCTGTGGTCTATGATAACATAATCATCTTAATTATGAATGAAATCATATACTCAGACATTAGAATTTTAGAAATCATATACAATTTTGGAACACATTAATATTATTCATTAAAATATAACCTGAAGAAGATTAAATATTTTTATGTTGATAATCACATGTAACTAAACATGTCAGATAATCCAGTTTACCTCTCTTTTGGATGCTCCAAGGACCCTCTGTAGCATCTGCAAGTTAGGGGTTAGAAAGAAAATTTGGAGCTGAAATTTCATATTGGGAAGCCTATCAAATATGCTAAAAGTAAAATACTTGATATTATGCTTAACCAGTTTGACCATGAGATGAGATTCTTATAAATATTTTATAAAACTTTACAAATTTTTGTTAAAAAGCAGATCAGTGCTCTAAGAAAAACCAGTTATGCTTTTATTCCAATTTTAACACACAGAAAAACTTAAAAATACCCCTTTAACTTTAGCCAACATTTGCAGAGAATTTCTTTTTACAAGATTTTTTTTTTTTGAGACAGAGTTTCACTCTTGTTACCCAGGCTGGAGTGCAATGGCGCGATCTCGGCTCACCGCAACCTCCGCCTCCTGGGTTCAAGCAATTCTCCTGCCTCAGCCTCCTGAGTAGCTGGGATTACAGGCATGTGCCACCATGCCCAGCTAATTTTTTGTATTTTTAGTAGAGACGGGGTTTCACCATGTTGACCAGGATGGTCTCGATCTCTCGACCTCGTGAGCCACCCGCCTTGGCCTCCCAAAGTGCTGGGATTACAGGCTTGAGCCACCGGGCCTGGCCCTTTTTACAAGATTTTTTACAAACCTTCTACAATGTGTTCAAACATTTTGCTTTATTTTAATCTAATTTAAAACAATCCTTTAACCCTCTAACCTAGACAAAAATGTACCTTACTGTACCTCCTTATAACCTTTCACTAAAAATGCATTTTACTTTCCATACATACCTTGCATGTAAATGTATTTTCAGTAGCCTTGATTACTTGGTTTAATGGTAACTCTTAGCAACTTTAACTTTTGGTGCATAAATTTCCTTTTATGAATCCTTTTGTGACTTACACAAACCATCTATGACATGCATATATTTTCTTACTTTTCCTAATCATCCCTCTTTTTAAACAACCAGTTATTTTACTTTAGGACAAGAATTTTCTGACAACATCCTTTCTTATATAAAATCTCTTTTCTTTATAACCTTTTTTTTTTTTTTTTTACATAGCTAAGGGAGCATGACTAATACCAGATGTCCCCAGGCCTTATCAAGAATCTGATGTCTCCAAAGTAGGCAAATTGAACAATTTTCAAAACTCAAAGCAGTTTATGATCGTAAAGCATTAGTAAACCTAATCTCTGACCTGTCTAATTTATACCAAATGTCTTTATTTTACCAATAATCTTTAAAGCTGTTTTTATTTCCCAAAGATTACTAAAGTTACATGAACTAAAAGACATTACAGTTTTTCTTTTTTCTTCCAAAATGTTTGATCTAAGCACTTATTTTTCTTTAAGCCAATTACTTGGAGCTCTTTTTTATAAACATCACACAGACAACACGTATGTAACTACACAGAGAACAAGATCCAGTAGTTGTAGGATTTTTCATTT